CTCAGTTTGTATGTTCAGTTCGAGCTATCCAGTATTTACAGAAATTCAGTCATAACCAGTTAACTACTTAATTCATTGGGAGTAGCATAATACCGAGTTGGACTAGGGTTTCAGCGTACCCATATAGTCCCAGAACTACGAGCCACGTAGGTGTAAGTCCCCTCTGTGGGCAACATCAGTTTAGTGATCACGCCAGCATGCCTTTATACCTCTGGCAGGGTATATTGGGTCCTCTCGATGGGGCGTATACATCGGACTCCACATTTAGCTCATGTGGTTTTATGTCGGTTATTAGTAGCTCCCACAGTTCAGTCAGACTCTATTGCATTGACCATATTTCAGTACAGTCAGTATTCAGTCTCAGCATGTTATAAATTTGGTCATTGCATCAGTTAGCTCAGTATTCAGTATTTTTCAGTATCTATATCATGTTCAGATTATTTCATTGCTTTATTGCTTTGTTCAGTTATATGTTATTTCAGCTTTACTCTATCCTGCATGCTCATTACCTTTCAAGTACTGACGCATACGTGCGCTACATCTTCTCGTGATGTAGGTTCAGGTTCTCAGCATCCAGATCACGCTTAGATCGATTCCCGATCTTCAGTTCAGCAGCATCAGTGGTGAGTCCTCATTCTTCGAGGACTAGTGACATGTTTATCTTTATTGCTTTTAGTCTTCAGTTTCAGTTTTGTTAGATCTAGTTGGGGCATGTCCCAACATTTCTAGTCAGTTTAGAGGCTTATTTCAGACATAGTTAGATTCAGCTTAGTATTGAGTTAATATATTTCTTTGGTATTAAACTCTCAGATTTGATATATTCAGTTATAGTATATGGGTATTCCCCATCTTTTCAGATTTATTTATGATTTAGCTTCCGCATCAGTTTATTATCTTTAGTATGCTCATGATCATGCCAGCAGGGTTAGCTTGGGATCACTTGTGGTCCTAGGTCCCGTGTCCGCGTCTCGGAGGTAGCTCGGGGCGTGACATAAGTACTCTTGGAAATTGGAATATTTTTTTTTACTAATCCAATACAAAAAAGGAATTAAGAAAATCAAACATTTTCCCTTCGTACCAAACATACACTTGGTAATCTCAAAAAGACTACTATGAACTTCAAAAAAATTACACTCTTTTATTTCACGCACCTCACCTAGTCACATTTTCTATTTTTTTTCATAGTCAATTTTCTTACGATAATGTTTATGAATTATTCTTTCTACTTAATATTGCTTCTTACTCTTTCTTTTTTTTTTTGTAATTTTTTTTCTTTTTTAAAACATCCCAACAAAATTTAGCATGTTATAACTTTACTACAAAATGGTTTTTAACAAGTGAATGGCTTAAGCCTTGTCAGCCTTGGCAGCAGTAGCAATCATTCAAAGGCACATGTCTATTACCGAAATTATCACATAGAATAGACCCACAGCCTATAGTGATTAATGGCTTGCGTAACAAACTAACCATTCTATAATTTAAATTTTTTTTTATCTTAATTTACAATTTTCATGGAATTAATTAGCTCCAAAAAAAAGATAGGAATAAACTCTATTATTATTTACAAGGGTGGAGCCACAATACAAATTACGAGTTCCACAAAATTCATTAACTTTGCTCAAATTCTGTATTTATGTTAAGAAAATTATTTAATATTCCCTCCGTTCAGATTTGATCTCTACTTTTACTTGTCATTTTTGACAAATCAAGAAAAGACAATTTCCCTCCTATTGTGCCCTCAATTTATTAACATTGAGTTAATGTCTTTGAAAAAATGAAATTAGTAAATATGTTTGAGATCCTATCAATTAATAGGGGTAAAATGGTAAACTCGGTATATCAATCATTATTTTTTTAATAGGCGTGACAAGTCAAAATTTGACAGTTAAATTCGAACAGAAGAAGTATGTACAAATAATCTATTCAACATTTAGTAAATTAAAAAAAATACATTTCACGACTTATAAATTAAAAATCTGACTCTGCCTCTCTCTCTAGACAGATACAAGAGAACTAAGAAGGAGCATATCCAGGAGGAGGTCACCAGGTTCATGTGAATCCATGCCCTCATTCCGAAACTATCTATAGTAGTGTTATATTTTTTTATAAAATATTTAAATATATATATGTGTGAACCTACACTCAAAGTAACATATAATGACGTGCGATGATGATTGAGTGCAAGTCTCTAAGTGAGATTAGAAATTTGAATATTTTATTTATCTTGTTTATTTTCCTTTCTAAAATTGGGTAACACCTCTCCAAGTGGTTGGATCGATAAGAAAATAATTTTCGACCTATAATTTTAAATTAATGATTTTTAGTGATAAGAACCTAAATGTCAAATTGATCAAATTTATATCTTAGATCTGTTTTTTGTAATAATGAACTCATCATCTCAAAATCTTGAATACGCCGTTAAAACTAAAATGCTATAAATTGTAGCTCTGATGTTGTTCAAAACTTGAAAGCATAATGGCGTCATCACTTGTTTCATTGATTTCCAAGAAAATAATCAAACCTTCTATCCTCACTCCTCCAACTAAAAAATCTCACAAACTTTCATTTGTTGATCAAGTTATGCATATGTCTATTCCTATTGCATTTTTCTACCCAAAAATTGGTAATTATGAACCTACACATGTGTCTCAAATTCTTGAAAAATCACTTTCAAAACTTCTTTCATTTTATTATCCTTATGCTGGAAGATTGAATAAGGATGATGGCAATTATGTTGATTGTAATGACATGGGAGTTGAGTTATCACATGTTCATGTACATTGTCCCATGTCTCAAATTTTTAGACAATCATACACCAATGATGAACATGTTGTTTTTCCTGTTGAGCAACCTTATGCCCACATGCATAGTGGAAATTTAGCTACAACTCAAGTAAGGATAGTTAATTTGGTTTTTGTTTTGTTTAACCATCTATATTCAATTTAGGGATCATCATTTAAGTCATACTCACAATACGTAAAAGTTTGCAAGTCTATCCACTTCGAAACAATTTGAGATATGCGGTATATGAATTTTCACATGCAATTGAAGTTCGGGCACATATGAATGAAGTTCAACTATTTCTACCTGAACTTCAGCCATATATGACTGAATTCAATCATGTTTACTAAAGTTTATGTACTTTTACTTGATGTTTATGTACATACTGTTGAAGTTCAACTATTATTGCCTGAACTTTAGCCACATATATAGCTGAATTCAGTCATTTTTACTAAAGTTCATGTACTTTTATTGAAGTTTATGCACATACGGTTGAAGTTCATTCATTTTTGCTTTGACTTCAGATATGTCTGAGTTTTAGCCATATGTAACTGCAAAACATTTTTGTTTGATCGCTTAACTTCAAACACCAGATATCTGAAGTTGTTCTAGAATAGGTAGATGTGCAAAAATATTTTTGAAAGTAGCTACAAGTTAAATATCAATGTCCAAATAGGATTAACTCCATGAAATTCTTACATCTAGTATTTCCTATTGGTGGTGTCAAATGAGCAAAGTGAGCTAAATTTGACAAGTTAAAAAGTGTGATGAGAAAATACACATGGAACTACTTAAATTGAATTTGGACAAGTCAAAATAAGATAAGTAATGACTCATCAAAAGGTTACTTGAGCAGAATGAATTGAGTCAAGATGAACTAAAGAAACTCTGCATATCCAACTCTTATATAGTTTTGATAATTTATTTAATCACCTAATAAAGTTTTCTCTCTTTCTTATCACTATATAACACATATCAAAGGAAAAAAAAGTTAATTTTAAAAATATTTTGAAAAGTTTCGAATGGAACAATTTGAACTATCCAAATCATCCTAGCTAGATTGTTTAAGTCAAAATGAACAAAGTTAATAAATGAGCAGATTATTAATATAATTTACTGCAACTTAAAAGGATTGGACGAAGCATGTATTCATGAGCTAGCTAGTTTGATCATCCTTATTGGCGAGTAATTCAGATTCACGATATTTTGATCAGGTAAGCCATTTTGATTGCGGAGGAATAGCAATTGGTGGATGCTTATCACACAAGATCGGAGATGGTTGCACTATAGGCAATTTCTTCAACTATTGGGGAATTTTGACTCGTGATATTAATGCAACACTTTCTCCTCATTTTGTTGGAGAATCAATTTACCCACAATCTACTGATTTTTCTGTAGTATCAACTTTCAAGTCTGAAGAATCAACATGTTTAGGGAAAAAGTTTGTATTCCCCGTTGATAAACTAAATACACTGAAAGCTAAAGTTGCGCATGAATCAGAAGTCCGAAATCCTACTCGCGTTGAAGTTGTGAGCGCACTTCTCTACAAATGTGCTTTAGTTACCAAAAGAGTTAACTCGGGTTCATTTAAACCATCTTCCTTATTTCAAGTTGCAAATATGCGCCAAAGGCTCAATCCACCTTTGTCACATGACACATGTGGAAATATATTATCAGGTTATTTTGTGGAAATACATAACGAAAAAGATGTAAATTATCCAAAATTGGTAGGTGAAATGAGGAAGGGGAAATTGAATCTTCATGCTAAGGAAAGTGCCATTATCTTAGGGGTAGTTAAATCAATTGAAAAAGGGAAAACACCATTTCATAGCAAAGAAGTTGATAATTATTTTTGTAGTAGTTTGCTTGATTTCCCACTTTATAAAGTGGACTTTGGTTGGGGAAGGCCCATTAGAGTGAGCATGGGAGCTGGGCCTTTTAACAAGTTCTTTTTCTTATTGGATAACCAAAGTGGAGGTGGAGTTGAAGTTATAGTCATGTTGGATGAACAAGAAATGGCTATATTTGAAAGAGATCCAGAGCTTCTTGAGTTTGCTAGTCCAATTACAAATCTTTAATATTTGAATTTTTGTGTTGTTTTATGAAATCTCCAATGTATGTTGTGTTTTAATTGTTTGCTTTATGTTGTTTATTGTACCAAGGGGCAAGGAGGCCGCTTTATCACGTAACATATGTATTCACGTGAACTCAGATTATATCTAAATACTTCTGGAAATTTGAATAAGTATTTTTTTTACTAATCCAATACAAAAAATATATATAAGAAAACCAAACATTTCCCCATTATACCAAACACACCCTTGGTAATCTCAGAAGACTACTATAAATTTCAAAAAAATAACACTCGTTTATTTCACGCACCTCATCTAGTCACATTCTCTATTTTTTTCATAGACAATTTTCTTACAATACTGTCTATGAATTATTTTTTGTACTCAATATTGCTTCTTACTCTTTCTTTTTTTTTTGGTAATTTTTTTGGAGCCAATCATTCACAGACACGTGTCTACTACCAAAATTATCACATAGAATAGACCCACACTCCATACTTATAATGGCTTGCGTAACAAAACTAACCATTCTTTAATTTACAATTTACATGGAATTAATTAGCTCCAAACATACGATCAGTCAAATACATACGAGGGTGGAGCCACAATACAAATTATGAGTTGGACGGAATTCATTAACTTTGCTTAAATTCTGTATTTATGTTTAAAAAAATATTTATTTTCCTTCCGTTCGGATTTACTTGTCAAATATTTTCTAATTTGATTTATACTTTTACTTGTCATTTTTGACAAAATCAAGAAAGGACAATTTTTTTTCCTATTATGCCCTCAATTTATTAACATTGAGTTAATATCTTTGAAAAATGAAATGAGTAAATATATTTGGGACCCTATCAATTACTAATAAGGGTAAAATGATAAACTCGGTGTATCAATCATTATTTTCTTAATAGGTGTGTCAAGACAAAATTTGACAAGTAAATTCGAACGGAGGGAATATGTACAAATAATTTATTCAGATTCAGTAAATAAAAAAAATTACATTTCAGAACTCATAAATTAAAAATTCTATCTCCACCTCTCTCTCGATAAATACATGAGAACTAAGATACTATAAATTGTACTAGCTCTTGATGTTGTTCCAGACTTGAAAGCATAATGGTGTCATCACTTGTTTCATTGATTTCCAAGAAAATAATCAAGCCTTCTATCCTCACTTCTCCTACTAAAAAATCTCACAAACTTTCATTTGTTGATCAAGTTATGCATATGTTTATTCCTATGGCATTTTTCTACCCAAAAATTGGTAATTATGAACCTACACGTGTCTCAAATTCTTGAAAAATCACTTTCAAAAGTTCTTTCATATTATTATCCTTATTATCCTTATGCTGGAAGCTTGAATAAAGATGATGTTAATTATGTTGATTGTAATGATATGGGAGTTGAGTTATCACATGTTCATGTACATTGTCCCATGTCTCAAATTTTTAGACAACCTTACACCAATGATGAACATGTTGTTTTTCCTATTGAGCAACCTTATGCCCACATGAATGAAGGAAATTTAGCTACAGCTCAAGTAAGGAGAGTTAATTTGGTTTTTGTTTTGTTTAACCATCTATATTCAATTTAGGAATCATCATTTAAGTCTCACTCACAATATCTATCTACTTCAGAACAATTTTAGATATGCGGTATATGAAGTTTCATATGCAATTAAAGTTCGGGCACATTTGAATGAAGTTCACCTATTTTTGTCTGAACTTTAGCCACATATGTGGTTGAATTCTGTCAATTTTACTAAAGTTTAGGTATTTTTACTCGAAGTTTATGCATATACAGTTGAAGTTCATCCATTTTTGTCTTGACAATTCAGATATGTCTGAACTTCAGTCATATGTAACTGCAAACATCTTTTTTGGATTGCTTAACTTCAAACACCGAATATCTGAAGTTGTTCCAGAATAGGTAGATGTGCAATTATATTTTTGAAAGTAGCTACAAGTAAAATATTGATGTCCAAATAGGATGTACCCCATGAAATTCTTACATCTATTAGTATTCCTTATTACTGACTAATTCAGATTCGTGACATTTTGATTAGGTAAGCCATTTTGATTGCGGAGGAATAGCAATTGGTGGATGCTTATCACACAAGATCGGAGATGGTTGCACCACAAGCAATTTCTTCAAAAATTGGGGAATTTTGACTCGTGATATTAATGCAACTCTATCTCTTCACTTTGTTGGAGATTCCATTTACCCACAATCTATTGATCCTTCTGTAGTATCAACTATCAAGTCTGAAGAATCAACATATTTAGGAAAAAGGTTCATGTTCCCCGTTGATAAACTAAATGCACTAAAAGTCAAAATCGCGCATGAATCAAAAGTACAAGATCCTACCCATATTGAAGTTGTGAGCGCACTTCTTTACAAATGTGCTTTAGTTACTAGAAGAGTTAATGGTTCCAATTCGTTTAAACCATCTTCCTTGTATCAACTAGCAAACATGCGCGAAAGGTTCAACCCACCTTTGTCACACGATGCATGTGGAAATATTTCATCTGGCTATTTCGTGGAAATAAATAACGAAAGAGAGGTAAATTGTTCAACATTGGTAGGTGAAATGAGGAAGGGGAAATCAAATCTTCATGCTAAGAAAAATGTGATTATCTTAGAAGTAGTTGAATCAATTGAAAAAGGAAAAACACCATTTCATAGAAACGGAATTGATAATTATTTTTGTTGTAGTTTGATTGATTTCCCACTTTATAAAGTGGACTTTGGTTGGGGAAGGCCCATTAGAGTGAGTATGGGAACTGGGCCTTTCAACAACTGGTTTTATTTATTGGGAAATTTTTCAAAATGTCAATATTTTGACATTTAATAGGATTCAATGTCAACACTTTCAATATTTAGTAAAAATGTCAAAATTTTAATTTATTATGTATCTTATTTAAGTTTTTATTATTTGTTTTAATTGAAAGAATACAATTGTTAATTAACAAAAAGGAGAAATTTAGGGGAGAGAAATTTATTAAAAAGGAACAATTGCTTAAAAGTCTTAGCAATTACAAAATTTCAAAACTAAATACTAATCGGTCTTCTCCATAGCTGATGAGTTCTATCATTATCGATTTTCAATATATTTTGATTGAATTTTTATTTTTTTTCTGTTTGTTGAGAATTATTTTAACGAAAC